TAGTGGTAATTAGGTTGCACCTCTGGTGCAGAACGATGTGTTGACGGTAAAGCATCCTATAAAACTCTAAGAAAGTTGCGCTTTGTTGAAGACCTTTGTGACCTGTTGTCGATCATTATACCATACCCGAATTAGTACTAGTGCGTTTGATAACGACGAGTTATGAATGAGATCGGGCGGCGGTAGGATGCTAGGCCAAATATCAAACATTTTGGACAGAATTCGTTGGCCTTAATAGACTGTATGACCCCCCCCCCCCAATGAATAGGCTGCATGATTTCCACAACAACATGCCAGCCAAAAGAAGGTGGGTACACCAGTTGTTGAGCCACAGCACTACTGGTTGCTGGGTTGGTACGAACTACTCTTCGTTGAGATGCTCAACGAAGATACTTCAACGAAAAGATGTGCATCAAAACGTGGAAATGGATGCTTTCGTTGAATAATTTAATAGTGTAAATTTAGGTAAGAAAGCTCCGATTGTATGTGCCTGCCTATCGCAAGCCAATCTACACGCATCGATCATCTTTTGCAGCCTCATTCTGCCTTCTCTTGATCAACCGTTTGCTTTCTGTTGCTGGACGAACACGATGAACCTTCTCAAAGCAAGACAAGAAGGCGTTCTAAAGCAGAAAGAGGAAGAAGCTGTGAACCTATTCTCGCGTGTGGGCGATTTTCGTGAGTTTATTACGACGTCTCAGCCGGCTGCTGCTGTGACTGTCACGCTCACGTGTTGCTGCCTGTCATCGGAGCGTGTTAACGGTGGGCGTGGCACGCGAGTAACCTGTGTGGACGCCAGGCAACACGGTGTTTTTGAGCCAACTTCGAGCGCCCTAGACGATTTAATGACTCTGGCGAGAAAGCCCTATATTGTCCAAGTAACGGTGTGTGATGCCAAGCCAAATAAGGGTTCAAGGCCAACCTTGACTTCCAATCTGGAGCTGTTTACACATTTCGCAATGGAGATGGCGTCAGATTCTACGCCGACATCGCCAAGGGAAGCGTGTGGTTTAAATGCGACGACAACGACAAAATATTTGAGGAACATCCACCCATGAAAACGCATAAGCTGACCCGAGAAGTCCTGAAGAAAGGAGGCAAAAACAAGCTGAGTGTGGGGCGTTCAAGTGCGAAGAGTGCTGCTGCTGAGCCGGTTTCGGAAAACGACATTGATATGGAGGGCAAGGAGGGCGAGGGTAATGCTGCCGTCACGACTCGCAGCAAGAGTAGTGACCAGCTGTGAATAGCCCCAAGTGGGCTCTCCCGTGTAGTGTTCATTGATTTTTAGCGGCCACTCGTGGTCTCTAGGTACATGTTAGGCTAGCTATTCGACCAAATCTCGATTGCTTGCACTATATTCAACTTTGAATGAAATTCTTTGATAACACACCAAATTGGCTTACTTCATTTTGTCACAATTCGCTTAAGAAGACGAGCTCCTAGGCAATACGTGATTTTAGCCAGTACTACATCTAAAAGAAACAGCGCATGATGGGCTCGAAGTTGGGGTTCACTTTCACCTTTGTTCAGCCACTCTCAGTTGAGAGATACCACCAACCTCACTCTAGATGAAGCAGTTCAAGCTAGATACATTCCGCATTCCTGGCACCACAGATTCTCACGATTCCCGTGGAAACCAGCGGCAGCAGTTCTTCGTAAGTGTCAACCTAATTGATATATATTATATCCAAATCTAACAAGCCTCAGCATGAATCCAAGCGTTCTGTGCTTCAGGCATTTGTTGAATACGATGATGTTCGTCACAATGTCTACATATGTAGGTCGAGCGCGATCCAAGTGGTAAGTTTTGAGGGGACGACGTCGCTAATTCCCTACTAACTCCATCTGCTGGTGTCATCGAAGGACGATTTTCCTTGTTGTAACTGTGCTCCTTTTCCTAATTGGACTCAAATATGTGTATCACACTATGAAAATCGCGCTGTACGTAACTAATAGTTTTCAATCTTGCATACGCTTTGTATTTCAGCTAATACATTGGACAGACCCAAACCGAGTGCGTTTTAGATCACTGTAGCACCGGACACAAGTGCGGGAACCAGCGCATGCAGCAAGGAGTCCAAGCTGCACTTGCGCTTGACAGTACGCCCGGAAACGGTATTGCTTTGATGGCCGATGATCTCATTGAGAAAGGCGAGTTTGTGGCCTAGTACGTTGGCGACGTGGTGAGCACCGAGATGTACTATAGCCGAGAAAAACAGGTACGCTAAAACCTTTCACGATGCTAGCAATAGAAGTTTGGTAATAGGATTAATTGGTTTTGCTGGACAGATCGTCGGTTCAAGACACTCATATGATATGGCTGTGACAGCCAATGAAGTAATTGACGCTCGCTACGGCATTGCCCGCTTCGCCAATCATAGCTGCTTTCCCAACTGTGATGTAGAGCGATGGGAAGTAGTTGGTGAGGTTTGCTGTGGCCTATTCGCAAATCGCACAATCACACGCGGTGAAGAGATTACTATCCGCTACGGAGCTAAATTTGTTCGATCCAAGGTACGCTGAACAGCTTCTACAACTCACACCGCTCACCAAACGATAACCGTTTTGTATGAAGGCAAAAAAATAAAGTGTCTCTGCAAAGCAACAAACTGCAAAGGATTCTTGTAGTAGTCGTGCGCTAACACTTGGAGAGTTGAGGTAGCAGTAGTATTCAACGCCGCACACTAAATGTATTGGGTTCATTCCGCTAGCATCGTCGGTCCATGCAGACCGCAGAAAAACTGGAGATAATTGTGACGACAAGATTTGGTAGATTATTGTAATCACTGCCATTATATACTTGAAGTGTTCGGTGGATGTGCTACTAAATTGGCACGTTTGTCGAATCAAGTGTTGTCAGCCGTATCAGCTGCAAAAAAAATCGAAGCGGCGAGTCTGCTGTGTAGATGCTTTTTAAACGTGCGTTCAGCGAATTTTCACAACCACAATTGATTCCGATCCATCATGACAAGGACGGCTAAGGAACCACCTCGTTGCGCCAAGGCTGGGAAGCGTGCTTTCAAACAGATAGCGGCTAGCGGTCATCAATACCGACGGCTGCAAACAAAGCGGCGATCGTCAGTCGAAGCACTGGAAGAAGAAAACGAAAGGCAGAGACTTTCTCGACGGGATGAAACCAAAAAGAAGAACGCCGATGCTCAACGTCTTCCTCGAAAACAAGTGCCGTAAGAAACCTAAAAGCACTGATACATCAAGTTTCGAAGAAAGTCTTACCTTTGATCGTAAAGGTACGCTGTTTCCCGATCTTTAACCTGCACCCGAAAGTCATTTGACATATGCAATGTACTGTCATGTAAAGCCTTTTTTGATTGCATCGATGAACACTTGTTTCGGGTGTGCGGTAACTGTGGCGAACTGGCAAATTCTACCAATGCTATACTCAAGTTGTTTGATCCGGATGCCGCATTTTTCAATCCGCTTAGAAATGAAGACGGCAAAGTTGACATTATTGAGGCAGGCCTGGGGTGAACCGAATGAGGGACCCAAATCCATTTGGCTCTGTGATAGATGCTACCGAGCGATACGATCGCAGACAATACCCAAGTTTTCTAGAGCCAGCGGATTTCGACTGAGGGATGTGCCGGAGGAGCTCGCTGCACTCAACCGAATCGAAGCGCGCCTGGTGGGTTTGGGCATTTCGTTTACTACGTGCGTGAATCTATACCGAGATGAACAAGAGTTTACACGTGGCAACGCAATAAACTACTGGAATGAGCCTGGAGAAGTCGTACGAGAACTACCACGACCATTGAAGTCATGCGGTGTTGTGTTCTTAGCGGCTAAGTCCGACAAGGCCACAAACTACTTTAGAGTACGCCATCATTTAGTGCGTCGTGCTTTGCGTTGGTTAATTGACAACAAACCTCTCTACGAGATTGTATCAATTTCAGAGCAAAACTCCAAGATCTTGAAGATATGAATATGGATGAAGAGATCCCCAGTATTCCAGTAACGGATGATGAAGTTCAAACGCTTCGAGGACATGTACAGCAATTGAACAGTGTCAACGCAAATACCGAAAACAGCAGTTTAAACGCCGAGAATATTGGTCTGGTCTCAAATTCGGGTGAGGACGTCAATTTCAAGAAGCAAGTGATTGGACTACTTACAGCACTGGTGATATTGAAGCGAACGATTTGATACAGTCTGGTAATGAAACTCGACAAGCCCAGGCTAGTGCTGAAACCGATTCCGAAGCATGCTCATGTACGTCTGTATTACGGGCTACTGTAAGCACGATTGACACTCTTCTTCGTCAAAAGACGCCACCGAGTCGGTCAGTGAGAGCCTTAGCGATTCTCAGGATGTTACGGAAAACTTGACTGAATTATTTGAATTAGAAGGAAATTATACTAGTAAGAGAAGTGAGTTGGAACAAATTTTAAGTGCTGTAGGCGTAGATACTACATATTCAAAACTACCAGTTGGCGAACTTAAGTGTCAACAGGACCCAATCGACGAGTACCGAACAAAACAAATGATGCAGTGTTGCTTTCCGACGTTGTTTTCGGATGATATCGGTAGCTTCCACCCACTTGACAAGGAAGAAGATAGAGTACAGGAGTACAAATTATCCGAATTCTGTGCGCACTTGATGACATTTCATGATAGGCGCTTTATCATTCATCGAAACTTAAAGTTTTTCTGAATGAATTTTATACAGCGCAAGTAGATTGACGGACTTGTCCGGAGGGTATCCGTTACTGAAAGTCGAACGGAGGCTATCAACACAGCTGGTTGCGGGAGAAATCAAAACTCTGAATCAGAAAATCGAGCATCTAATCATGAGAAGGAGGAGTTGAACGCTGCAATTCAAGTATTAGAGTCCTTAAAACCGTTTTTTCGAGTAGTGCGCGGGAGCGGGTTGTACTGATCGAATTTGTGTGATGATTTAATGACCATGATAGGAAATCGTGTCATGCCCACGAGGTGGCCAACATTTTTCCTCACGCTGAGTGCTGCCGATACTATTTGGCCCGATTTTGCTCGTGCATGCAATCCATTGTCAATCACGGACGAGTGTAGAAAGCTGTCCTACACTGAAAGCAAACGCTATTAAATGAAAATCCGGACATACGTGCTAGACAGTTTAATAGACGTTTCCATGCTTTTTTTGACAACATATTATCCGGAAAAGCAAAGCCACTCGGCGAAATAATTGACCTTTTCTGGAGAGTATAATTTTAACAGCGTGGTTCGCCTCACATTCACTGTTTGCTATGGATTAAGGACGCTCCAGATGTCCTAAAGCTGTCTGAAACAGAAGAGGGGCAGTTAAAACTTGCTGCCTACGTGGATAAACACATTTCAGTACTATCAAAGACAGTCAAAGAATTGGCGTGTTTGTGTTCTACATGCTGTGATCATCGAGATACTGAAGTGGATATTCTAGCATTACGATCTCCTTCTGTCGAGACCGAATGGGAGTGTGACTTGTCTAGGCTCGTCTTGCGATTGCAACAACACGTGTGGAATGACAATTCGTCCTGCAGGAAGAAAGGAAATGAATGTAGATTCGGATTCCCAAAGCAATTAGATTCTAAAACAAATATTAAAACGAGTGTAAGCTCAGATGGAACGCCTTACTTCAATGTTAAAATAAAGCGTCATGTTTCTACGATCAACAACTATTCACCGCACTTGCTGTCATCTTGGCGTGCTAATATGGACTTACAGTTGATAGGTAATTCTTATGGTGCTGCTGAGTGTGCAGGAGCCTATATTAGTAAGGCAGAACCTGATACACTTCGATTTAGACTAGTAATTGCAAAAATCAGTTCAACGCTGTGATCCAAATCTCCCTTACCACTCTATTCTTAAACGTGTAGCCAATGTAACTCTTTCTGTACGTACGTGAGGTTGGTGCTCCTGAAGCATTGTACATATTACTTCGAAAGTTACCCATGCACAGTAAATCGCGGTCAGTTGTAAAAGTGAAGGTTTTGCGCCACTCGCAGCGATACTATCGTGTTGAACCACAAGGCCTGGACGACCTTGTGGCTCTAGCAGATACTGCTAATTCCGACTCTTTTCGAATTGAGCTAAACGAACGAGCATACATGAATCGCCCTAGAAATGAGCTTTTTAGAACAATGCGTTTTGCTACTTTCATCGAGGAGTATGATGTTGTAGACTCCATTAACGAGAATAAACCTGATGAACTTGATACGTGGGAACGCTGCGACCGTGAAGGGTATATTAAACGTCGCAGCAAGCCTGTTGTCGACCAAAAATCACCTTGGGTGAGTGCCAGCTCCGCTAATCTAAACTTTTGTTTTTCGGAAGTGTTATTGTATGTGCCGTGGTGATCGATTCAGGATTTACCTCTCACAGATGATAGTTGTATTGCCCAAATTTTCGAGGTACAAGAGCAGCATCTTGACAGAGAGCTTGTGCAGGAGTGAAACGCAAAATTAGTGCGGCAACACAAATTAGATCTTCTAAGATCTACCCGCGATACCAGCAATATAGCTTCTTTTGCTCCATCGCAACATGTTTTTATAAGCCACACTGATGAACCTGAACAAGTTGAACAACCAGAAGTATTAACCTCGCATGATAACCAGCCTGCTGAATCGCAGTGGAAAATTTATATTGGTGCTCCTGTCACTCTTACGTTTAATATTGCTCAGTCTGCAGGAATATGTAATGGTACAAATGCCAAAGTGTACGACTTCATGTTTGTCACTGGTAGTGATTTACTAATAATTCTAGTTCAGATAGTTGACCCATATTTGGAACCTTCACTTCTAGATGACGTATCGAATATTATTCCAATCTTACCGAAGGAAATCTCATGGGGGAAAGCGTCTAGTGATCTCCGCGTACTACGAAGAGGGATTCCACTGAGGCGGGCATATGCAATGACAGTCCATAAATATCAGGGTCTAACGTGTCCATATATCATGTTTCACTCGAACGCAATCCCAAATGTAGCATTTGCCTATGTGGCCCTTTCACGCATTCAACACCGATACAGTATCGTCATCACGCACAAACCAAGGTTGGAAAAGCTCACATTAGCTCCGGATAGAATCGCTGAGTTTCAGCGTGAGGAGACTCGAGTCTCTGATGCTGTGGGCCGAACTGCCACAGGTGCGGCTTTGGCAATCCAGCGCATGAAGCTCGTTGCACTTGCGCACAACGCGGCGATGGGTCCCCGTTGATTTCGTCAACGCCGAAATGGCTAAGGCCGTGACTTACTGTGGCGACGCACGGGTGAGTCGCGACGTAATCAGAGCGTTGCATGTTTTTCAGCGCTGGGAAAGCTGTTGCTAGATGGTTGCGTGGAGCAACGAATCACTTCGTTGCGGCGAGAAACGAGTTATTGGCAACCACTGCGAAAAAGCTGTGAAGGCGAGGATCCAACGCATGATATTGGCCGAGGAAGGTCACAACGAGATCATTGGACCGATGCGATTTCTGCAAATAGTGCTGGGTATCCGCCTGTTATTGGAAGGTGCCACACAATCCAGAAAATGTGACCCGGCAAACTAGATTAGAATTGCAAGTCCACGTGATATACTGCAACTAATTGTATTTTGAAATGCTACAGGTGAAACTATACAGTCCAATTCATAGGACGCGTTCTCGACACCATTCGCAGCCGAAGATTTCAGGATATCAATGGTGAGATTAATTAAAACTTGCCAGTTAAGGATATCGAGTAGATCAAACCAGAAAGTACTGATAGTGGCTGAATGGTTGCTTACATATTTAATGTGTTGGAGCCGCCCAAACAAATAGAGCAAAAATCAACATTTAGACGACATGCATTCTCACCGCTTACTGTGGTTATGGGTGTTCATCATTAAATGGGCGCTACACTAGAATGCTCACTCCGAAGCTTTCTCTTCTTGCGAAGGAGATCGGTGGCGCTTGGCAGGCGACTGCCGCAGACGTATCTTGCCTTGCCAATAGTCTGGGATATATGTGCTGTTCTTGAACTTGTTGTGCCATAAATCCCAGCAGCTATGCAGTTCCTCATCCATGGTGTGTTTCAGCTTCATGCAGAGGTACACTGGCAGAACGTTGAAGCAGGCATCACAGAAGTACGTCATCGTTTCTCCGCGTTTCCCGTCAGACCGTAGCATGGGGATCACCATGCCGCCCCGATTGATTTCTCCACTCGTCCACTTGATTTGAATAATGGATAACATACTCTGCAGTAGCCCTTTCATCCGGTGCAGTGGCGTCTTGAGCGGAGGTCTCGATAGAAGATGGTGGTGGTGGTGATCTGGGGTGTGTACACATATAACGGTTAGCCTACCCTGTACATACAACACGAATATAGAATACTTACCAGCTCCAAACGTGTTGTCTTCGTACATATCTGCGTCCTTCAGGTGGATGGGCTCCAAGTGCAGTTTGCGGATGTACTGGACGTGTGTCAGTGGACGCTTCGTGGTATGCCCGATGTATAATGTAGCCATTGCCAATAGTAAGATCCACCAGTCCAGACACAGCGACTTGTATTACTTTTGAAAGGTAACCGCTCGCTGTAGTAAGTACCGTTGCAAGTGGAGTAGATCATGCACATCAACTCCGCCCATATACCGGTGCTAATCTTTCACATCTTTCGGGCACGGCGCTTTGTGCTGCTCACCTGTCTTCGCCCTTCTTGCTACTCTCTCCAATTCAAGATCACATGAACCACCGGTTTGCTATCCCACCACTTTATAGGTACCAGCGGCTTCAGTGGCCCACTCATGCATCCATCTCTTATTCCCTCTCAAATCCTTGAAGCCAGCCGTAATTCCTCGGAGCCTGATACAAACCGACCCTTCGCGGGTTCCATAAAAACTCGTCTCGACTTTAGCGACTGTTAGCCCATAAAAATCAGGTGCTATTAAACACTTGGTGAGTCGATAGAAGACGTTCTAGTAACGAGGTTTTTTTTCAAAAAAAATGGTCCCTAGTCGTGAGATTATAATGATAGCCCCTACCCCTTTCTATAATTCGATGTGAAATACCCCTGTAAA